TCAAATATGTTGGAAATATGGACACTCAACCCTTTAATGCTACCACAGAAGTAACTTTGCTTATCAAGGGAGGCCTCCAACTGTCAATCTCACTGCTATGCATGCCAATCATCAACCTTCATCACCATCTGAACAGTTTTGGATTGCAGATACTAGTGCCACATCAGACATGACCTCTGAATTAGAAAACTTGGATTTATCTACTCCATATCAAGGAATTGATACAATTACCACTACAAGTGATGCAAGTTTGCAAATTTCTAATATTGGCACTTCTAAATTGGTAGTACCATAACATTCCCTCACTCTTAAGAATGTATTACATGTTCCAAAGCTTTCTCAGCATTTGTTATCCATTTATCAACTCTACAAGGACAATAGGTGCAGATTCATTTGTGATTATGTTTCTTTTTTGGTTCAGGACAAATCCACAGGGAAAATACTACTCAAGGGGCTATGTGGAGCTGGTTACTATCCTATACCATTCAACATTCCACATAAGTTGTCACCTACACCAGCTGCATCTCATTCATGTTTCCTTCCAAAACCAGTTAATTTAAGCATATGGCACAAAAAGATAGGGCACATATCAAATGCAATTACTTCTGCAATTCTACATCAATCTCAAATCCCTGCATCACTAGACACGTACTCATCAATATGTACACCATGTTTAGAGGGAAAGTTCACCAAGTTACCATTTACTTTTCCTATAACCAAATCTGTATAACCTTTAAAGAAAATAAACAGTGATGTATGGGGATCTGCCCCTTTACTATCCTACAAAGGGCTTAGGTATTATGTAACCTTCATAGATGATTGTACTCAATACACATGAAATTTTCCATTAAGAAATAAAATAGAAGTTTTTGCAACTTTTGTCCATTTTCATGCTTACTTGTGTACACAGTTTTCTACCATAGTCAAAATATTCCAAAGTGATGGTGGAGGTGAATATACAAGCACTAAGTTTCAACATTTTTGTCACAACATGATATTTTTCATCACAAATCATGTCCCTATACACTTGAACAAAATGGCTTGGCAGAAAGAAAACATAGGCATCTTGTAGAAATAGTAATTACACTTCTCCAAACTGCAAAATTAGCTAACCAATTTTGGTTTCATGCCTGTGCCACTGCTTCTTATTTGATAAATAGGATGCCCTGTGCTTCTTTACATATGCAGTCACCATTTCAAAAGCTATATAACACAATTCCTAAGATTAAACATCTCAGGGTCTTTGGTTGTGCATGTTTTCCCCTCTTAAAACCCTATAACACTTCTAAACTTCAGCCTAAAACAGCAACTTATATGTTTTTGGGATATGTAGGCCAATATAAGGGGTTTATATGCCTAGATATTGCTACTTGTAAAATTCATGTGTCTAGACATGTTTTGTTTGATGAATCTAGTTTTCCATATTCAAACCCCAGTTTACTTCAACATTCAAAATTGTCTTCTGCATTATCTCAATTACATTCATCAAACACTTCAGTAAATTCACCTCAGTTAACTCCAATCATCACATTAACAAATCAAGAATTATCACCTTCATCTCATTCATTTGCCTTTATCACACTCATTATCATCTAAGACCATAGACACTTTGACTATGCATGCATCTAGTGCCTTGTAATCCTTGTCTGCGTCTAGAGCCTCAAATTCTTTGAAAATAGTTGCATCTAGTGCTGCAGAGTTTATTTCTTTACTTACAAATGATAACACTATATCACATATACCCTGTGATTCTTCACTACATCAGTTATCCCCAATCAGTTCCAGTACACAACACCCTATCCATGGGGATCCTGATTTCCAACATGAGCACCTAAGTGTTGTTTTGTCAATACCAATGAATGTACATCCTATGCAAACAAGGTCTAAGAATGGGGTGTTCAAAAATAAGGCTTTCTCAGCTATTGTCACTTCAGAACCTAAAACATTCAAAGCTACATCACAAGTTTCAGAGAAGACTTGGTCTTTAGTCCCATACCACCTGATAAGAATTTAGTTGGATACAAATGGATCTACAAAATATAAAAAAAATACAAATGGGTTTATGGCAAGGTATAAGGCAAGACTTGTGGCACAAGGGTATAGCCAAGAAAAAGGTGTTAATTATTTAGAAACATTTAGCCCTGTGGTAAAACCTACAACTAGAAGGCTGATATTTGCCTTAGCTGCTAAATTCAAGTGGTCACTTTGGCAGCTAGATGTCAAAAATGCCTTTCTACATGGCATATATCCTTCAAGAGGAAGTTTATATGGCACAACCTCCAGGATTTGAGAGTGCAACACATCCCTCAAACTATGTCTGCAAAATTCAGAAAGCATTATATGGTTTAAAACAGGCTCCTCGAGCCTGGAATGAAAGATTCACTATTTTTTTTACCAATTTTAGGGTTTCAAGTTTCACATGTTGATCCTTTTTTGTTTGTGCAACGGTCTTCAATGGGGACAGTGTTATTATTAGTATGTTGATGATGTAATTCTCACAGGTAGCAGTTCTCAATTGATCAACCAAGTTATCAGAGCTCTCACTGCAGAGTTTGAAATGAAGGATTTGGGTTTATTGCACTACTTTCTGGGATTGCAGATTAGTTACACCTTATAAGGATTGTTTGTGTCACAGACAAAGTATATCAATAAGTTGGTTGATAAAGTTGATTTACAGGAGTCTAAACCATGTGTTACACAATGTCTACCTTATCATAGGTTACTCAAGGATGATGGGAAGCTTTATCACAGTCCTGAGCAATATAGGAGTGTTGTTGAGGCACTTTAATACCTTACTTTTACAAGACCTGACATAGCATTTTCAGTCAATCAAGCTTGTCAGTTCATGCACAAACCTATGATTTCTCATGTCATTGCAATTAAAAGAATTATTCGATATCTCAAGGGGACATCTACCTATGGCATTCATTTAAAGCTAGGGCCAATGCATCTGCAATCTTACAGTGATGCAGATTGGGCAGGTGATCCAAATGATAGGAGATCAACTTTAGGGTTTGTTGTGTTCTTTGGTTCAAACCCTATTTCTTGGGCTTCTAAGAACAACACATTATTTCTCGAACTTCCACAGAAGCTAAGTATCGAGCACTAGCAATCACGGCTGCTAAACTTGCCTGGATTTAACAACTATTATGTGATATGCATATCCCTTTATATTCCTCTCCAATTATATACTGTGATAATGTTTTAGCTATAACACTCTCTACCAATCATGTGTTCCATGCTAAGTCAAAACACATTGAAATAGACTATCATTTTTGTGCGTGAAAGAGTCGCTTGAGGAGATCTTCAAGTTCAACATGTGTCTTCAGCAGATCAATCAGCAAACATTCTTATCTGCACCATTATTTCAACAACATTGTAGCAATCTCATGCTCAATGCCCTCAAGCATCAAATTGAGGGAGGACGTATGAAGGATAAGGTGCAAGATTGTGATCCAAGTGATAAGGTTATCAATGGTCAAAACAATGCCACTTGTCAAGAGATTAAATAGGTTGTTATACATATAGTTAGTTGTTAGAATCTGGTGGACTTGGATAAAGTTGGTTAGAGATAAAGTTAGTTGATATAATAAGGTGGTTAAAGAGGATTACTTGCTCTGCAAGCTTTGTACCAAAACACCTATATAGGTGATCATTGTAAACCAATACAAATCAATGAAAAAAAAACATTTTACTGATACAAATCTCTCTCTCTCTCTCTCTAATCTCTCTCTTAAAATCTGCAAGTGCATCTATCTTTACAATAATGGCGCTTGAGCACACATTATGAAATTCAGTTTCTCAATCTGGATGTTTCATGTACTTTTACTCTAGGTTTTTATATCCAACTTTTACTAGTTATCTTCTAGCCCTAGGGTTAAGTATCTTAGAATAAATTAATATATTGCATCTTAATTAGAGTGAGAAATCAAATATCCTTTAGAGAAAATCCTTTCATATGAGTTGGCTTTTATGAACCTTTTGGTATCCATATCAAATATTTTTGGGTTTCGTAAGAGTGAGTTCATCATGCATATCATGTTTCTAGAAGATATATATGTTCATATATCTTTCTAAGGTTTGGTCATAATTCAATACATTGGAATTTTCTGTGGTAAAAAATTTCACAGAGAAAAGTCGTACACAAGGTTTTTGTGATGGTGAAAGACGATGTAATGGTTATGTAAGTCCTGGAAGAGTCTGATGAGTAGATTTAATATTATATATTTAACCATATTTTTAGTATATTTTGATTAATATCTTAGAGAATGTGGGAGTGAGAAGCTTTTTTTTTTTTTTTTTTTTCCTTTTAATTAGAGATATGTTAGAATTATATGTAGATGAGGTTTTGAAAAGAAAACAAACAGTAAAATTTGGTTGTGTGAAATTACATTTCTGCCTCATATTTCTTATTCATATTCTGTTTTAATTAGAGGGTTAATCTGATAATTTGATAGAATTTTAGTTGACAATGAATGTTTTATTAATTAGTAGAGATAAGATTGATGTTATTCAGTTAAGTAAATCAGTCAAAATGTACAACCATCCGTTTATAATTAACCGTTTCGACGATTTTATTTATTTTTCTTTCAATTAATAAATTGCACTCTGATTTTTAACTAGAGAGAGAATTTCTAGAGAACAGTGTAGGCAGTACCTGTGTGTAGGCTGAAGTAGTGTCTCGTGGGTTTTGGTCGACATGTCAAGCGGTACCAGTCATCTCTTGTCTTTGTATTATCAACTTTCCCTTCTCACCGTCATCGACAGTCTTTTATGGGTCCCCCACTCTCTCTGCTGCCACTCAGCTCTCACGGGCGGCACCACCCTCACTCGCTTTCTCCTCATGGCCCTCATGCAATTATAGCGTAATGATTTTTACCTCACGAATCGCTGGCTGTAAAGGCAACTCACTTTTCTTCAGGGTTTAACCCTTTCAATTCAAAACTTGATTTCATCTTTTAAAACTTTCCCACTTTTGTAAAAAGGAAGAGAATGGGGTCTACCGGTCCAGCTGATTCTATGGCTGACCGACATTGAGAGCGCAGCCGTATAAGATAAGGGGAAGAGAGAGAAGAAATATTCTCTTTTGCTTTCATTTTCTGTGTAGCATTTTCCCTTCCAAGTTCAAGCAAAGTGAAGAATTTTCCCAGAAAACAAAAAAGCTTTGATCTGAGGTGCTTCATTTGTTCTCAAGGATTCAATACAGACACTGAGATTTTTATTATTGTCTTCTGCAGTAGTAAGTTTTTAACTTTTTTTCTTAATTTGTTTTGGTAGGGTACTGCTTCTGTACTTACTTTTGCTGAATTAATTATCAAGTTTAGACCACAACCAATTACATCTAATAAGCTCAACTTCCAGATGATGTCCGAAGATGCAGTTTTAGTTCCCTCCACCATCACAGGGTTTGCTCAAGAGCCCGATTTCAACCCTAACCCTAACCCTAATATAAATAATCAATTCAAAAGGAAGAGAAGTTTACCTGGAACGCCAGGCAAGTGTGTTTTCATGTCTACCTTGCAGCTTCACACACTTCATTAGCTTCGGTCAACATATGTCAATCAATATTCCTTCTTTTTTTGTTATTTTCGTTTTTTCATATTTTTTTTGTTTGATGGGACTTTAATTCAATTGCAGATCCAGATGCAGAAGTGATAGCTATGTCCCCAAAATCTCTAATGGCCACAAATCGGTTCGTTTGCGAAATTTGCAACAAGGGTTTCCAGAGAGACCAGAACTTGCAGCTTCACCGACGTGGCCACAACCTTCCGTGGAAGCTCAAACAAAGATCAAAAACAGAAGTTATTCGGAAGAAGGTGTACGTGTGCCCGGAAAAGACTTGCGTGCACCACGAGCCATCGCGAGCGCTCGGAGACCTCACCGGAATCAAAAAGCACTTCAGCCGAAAGCACGGCGAGAAGAAGTGGAAGTGTGAGAAGTGCTCAAAGAAATACGCAGTTCAATCGGATTGGAAGGCGCATAGCAAAGTTTGTGGGACTAGAGAGTATAGATGTGACTGTGGCACTCTCTTTTCCAGGTACTACTATCTACTGTTTATTTCCAGTTTAATCCGTCACTTCCTGTCTTTACAAATTCCCTCCTTTTATATGATTAATTTGGGGAAAGAATATACATTTAATGCTTTCACGTAGAGACTTTATGGGGATCTATTTGATTTTAAATATTTAATGCTGTATGATTACTCGGGTGTGCGATTTTATCATGTATTTTTCGAGTATTGCTGAATTCATCAAATTTGTGGGATTTTCTACTTTGCACCGGGAATCTACTATACACAGGATCCTCTACTGTCAAATCTTTGTTCATTTAATTTTTTGCAACATATTCAACCATTCATTGTTCCAGTGCATTGCCATCAGGAGCATAATAGAATTTTCACAAATTTATTTACCAAATTTCAACTACTTAAATGTGCTTTATACATGCATATAATACACTGTTAAACTTATCAGTTTGTTGACCAAATTTTGTTAAACAGGAAGGATAGCTTCATAACACACAGAGCCTTCTGTGATGCATTGGCGGCTGAGCAAAGTGCAAGATTTTGCTCAGCTTCAACTATTCATCCAAGCTTCATGAATGGGTCATTTACCAATAATGCCCATGAACCACAAAGAATCCCAAATTTTATACCAATGTTTCAGTCGGAATTTGCTGGCTCTGACCATCTAGCAGCCAACAATTCTCATCTCAGCTCTAAAGCTTTTATGCCTGAAATGCTGCAAACGGCATCAATGGACATGTTTGGATCGTCTTCATCGTCATCTCAGATGCAATGGCTCATTAACAACAAAAAGTTCGTGGAAGAATCATCATTTGCAAATGCCAACAATCTCTCTATGTCATCGGCGCTGTTACTTCGGGGAGTGCTAAAGGAGGAGGAAGAATCCAAAGGGAGTTTCTCTGAAACAATTACCACCACTACCACCTCTTTCTATAATAACAACATTAATAACAATCAGAACCACCACCAACAAAAACCCGTGTCAGCCACAGCACTTCTGCAAAAAGCAGCTCGAATGGGATCTACAACCAGCAACAACAACCCAGCTACAGCATTCAACGACGCCGCCTTTAACTTCAATGATTTGGTGAATTTTATGTCTCCTTCGTCAACTCAAGGAGCCACAGTTGGAGATGGGTCACTGTTCTTGAACAACAAACACTTGATGATGTCAGCTGAAGCAGCAGCCATGACAAAACAAGGACAAAGTGAGCAAAGTAGTTTAACCAGAGACTTCCTTTGAGTAGGAGGAGGTGATGCAATATTTAGTGGTGGATTGTCTTTCTTTCAACAAGAGCTAGCAAAGTTAGCTTCTATGAGTGACTTGAGCCAATATGCTAGTACTACTACTAGTAGTCGGCATCAATGACATAATTTACAAGGCAATTATAATTATAAGGAAGACTTTGTTGTACTATAACTAGAGTTTTAGATGAAATGAATACCAATGGAATTAGATTATTAGGAGGATATAACGAGTCTGAGTTGCACTTCTACAAAGCGAGTCAACTCGGAGAGAGAGCTAATGCAGGTTGGGATAGAGTTAACAAAACGAGACAATTCATGGGGGGTATAGGGACCCTCCATGCATGCATGTTGTAGATTTTATTTTGTTTTAAGATTTACTCTTTCTTGTCATTCGATAAGCACAAAAGCCTAAAATGTGGCATGTTTGGCTGTGATTTGTGACCCATGTCACTGCCTTTTCTCAGTGTCAACATTTTCCACCGTCAGTTTTAAACAAGGGAATCTAATGTACGTGGATGTGGGCCTAATTAGTCAATTCAAGTTGAGCTAATTTAGAAAGAAAAAAAGCTCCATGACAATGGAGTGGCTTCTACTTTATTTACTAGATTTGAGGTAATTTGCATTCCCAAGTAATTAGTAATGTTTAATTGTTAGGTTATCAAGAATGTTTGTCAATTGTTGTAATCGACATACAAGCTTCTTGTTTATAACAAATAGATCTTGGATATTCCTATTTGTTTGTAATACATCACTCTAATCCAGTCTATTATCCCCTAATAAATAAGAATATCCAGGGATCTATTAGTTTTTGTACAATGCAAATAATAATGTTGTTTGTTTAAAACAATTTATTATAGTATCAATTATGTATCAGTAAAAAAAAAAACCTATAATACTCATAACACCATAAATTCATCTTAATTATAACCTAGAAAACTATCAAAACATCGTGGCTTCTAGAAAATTAATGTAGAAAGACATTAAGAGCAAAATCTGGCTATTTCCTCAAGAAGGAAGTCTCTCCCTCGCTACAATTAGGTGCCAGGCATTTCTGTTGAATCTATATCATCAACATGCAGCCTTACCGGTGTAACCCATATCATCGGAAAAAGTTGGGTTCCATCATAAAATTCATTGGCAATATAGGAAATAACTCAATCTCTTATAAGCCTTTGTAAGTTGGGGTTCCACCATAAAACCAATTGTCAATATGGAAAGTAGTCTAACCTTTTATAAGCCCAACAAGGTTTCTCCTTTCATTGATGTGGGACTCTTTCACCTCACATTCTCACACGCTCCATCACGTGTCACAGATTTTCAAGTCAAACATGTGAACAACACAAACAGGGTGACATGGAGCATGCTTGGCTGTTGGACTTCACATGTAGGCCAAACCTACTTTAATACCATAAAGAAAATTGAGGTTCCACCATAAAACAAATTGGCAATATGAGGAATAGCCTAACTTACTTATAAGCTCATGCAAGGTCCCTCCTCCCATCAATGTGAGAATCCGCGATGTTTTACAAAAATGTTAACGTTCTTATCTCCCACTAACAGCAAGAAGACTGTCTCATCAAAGTGACAATCTGCAAAGTGAGCGATAAAGAGATTGCATGTCAAGAGCTCTAAGTATGTCAAATAACTGGTGGCAAACCATAACCGACATAGATTCTCATTCTCCTATGAGGACCCATTTTGGTGCATAGTGGCAGCATTATTGGCACATAAATTGCCCACCTAAACACACATAACTGCGAGACGTCAGGCTCGTAACTAGTAACCAACTGTAACGATGAAAGAGATTAGGTGGCAATGGGTCTCAAGCGAACCAACATAGCTACATGCAAAATTGCATAGCCCCAAGCAGATTGTGGAAGCTTGGTACGCATGGCCTTGATCCATATCCGTCCCCAAATCTGACTAAGTAATATATAGTATATTAGTATATACTATATATATACACACACACACACACATTCATTATTCACTGAACTCATTACCTTGAGAATACAAAAGTTACATTGTGTGAGTTGTATTTTGTAGGAGAGTTCAAAAGTTTTGAATCAAAACCAATAAGAATTCAATGGTGCTTATGAGAGATATCAAAGATCAACCAACATCATCTATGTTTTAAATTCACTAGTTTAATTTTTATACTCAACAAAATCCGTTCATTGAATCATTTTAAACATCAAATATTTAATGATGAAATTAATATCTACAAAATTATAATGCGTCAACTAAAGGAATATATCTTTTGTATTGATGAATATGGATATGATGGGAATCCATTATCCTGTGGGTATGGTTATGGATAATCTATAATGGTTAAAATGCGATTTTTTAATATGGTTAATTTCATGGTTATGGAGATAGATATAACATTTTCATCCCCAAGCTAAACTGTTGCCATCTCGGTCTCCAAATAGAGATATCAAATAAAATGTCAAATTGAATTTTTATAGTTGATGTGACAAAATAACCAAAATTCTTTTTGGTTATTATAAAATCAAATGGGTCAGAATTTAATAATAAAATAATCAGTAAGTGAAGAAAAATAAAGAAATATGTGGGCACAACATTAAAATAAAACAAAAAAGAAAAATAACATTATCTTCAAGTTTGGCAGCAAAGTGGAGAATGTCTACCGTGTAGGATTTTGACATCTCCTTTGAAACCATTTTTTTTGTCAAAATAGTTGACATAGACTTTTGACATCTCCTTCAGATTCTTTGGAGATGCTATGAGTTAGTGATTTAGAATGTTTTTAAAGATTAGAACCAATTTAGAATTACTCCTAAATTTATGTAGTTATTTTTATTTAATCCTAATTATTCGTATTTAATCCTATATTTGTTAATGATTATATGAGTATCAGTAATATATATTTGTTAGATTCGGTTTGTCTTCATAATGTGTTTGCCTTGATACTGGAATACAAGAAAATCAATCTCAGGATTAATGAGGTTGTTGGTGGATTACTGCTGTAACAATACGTTTGTGTTTACTGTTTTTTTTTTTTTTTTTCTTTTTTTGGTGAAGAACGGGGATTACAACCCAAAGAGAACTACAAAACAACAACAAAACGAGTCCGAGGGACTCTAGCAGCATCATCAATGAGAGATGATCTAATCCAAACGGGAGGCTCATTAAATACAAGAACACCAATATCCATATTATAACTCCAGTTAACCAACTGATCCACCACAATATTCTTCTCTTTGTAAATGTGATCCAATTCACACATCTGCAATTGTCTCATCATTAATCTGCAACTATGCATAATTGCCTCCAAAGGATGGAAATTATCAACTTGGGTTTGCTTCAACAACATAACAATAGCCTTGGAATCCATCTCAATATGAAGATCAGTAGCACCCTTATAAATAGTAAGTTGTAAACCAAAGTATAAACTCCATAATTCAGCATCACAAACCTGCCCTTGTCCCAAATTCACAGCAAAGCCACCTAACCAGTTGCCATTATGATCTCTTAGTACGCCAACAGCCCCAATTCAACTAGAATTTGTCCTTCTAGATCCATCCACATTTAGCTTACACCAACTTACATCAGGATGATCGCAAGAGAGGGAAATTTACCTCTTGACAGGTTTAACGGAAGACTTCACACAAGCCTTCAACCATTCAGCCACATCTCTCACAATGATTGCTTCTGGATCCATAGACACGACAAATTTGAAATAAAAAATCTGCTTGTTTCTCCATTTCCAAATATACCAGCAAATAAAAAGGAAAAGAGTACACCAAGCACCCTCATTGGTCCCTTTTGAACTTACTTTCAGATTTGCCAGCAACCAAGCCTTAAACTCAAGATTCTGGGCATTTCTCAGTTGCCTTGGAACTCCCATACTTTCCCAAATACACACAGCCCTCGAACAATCTTTAAAAATATGATCAATGGATTCAATTGGTCCACAACAAGTCATACAAGAAGAATCAGAAGTCATTTGTCTTCTAACTCGCTGCTCATTAGAAAGCAATCTCTCTTTATTCATCAACCAAAGAAAAACTTTTAGCTTAGGTGGAACATTGATTTTCCAAATAAAATCCCAGCAACAATCAGGCAAATCCTATCCATCAAAGAAAAGATTATAAGCTGACTTAACTGTGAAAACTCCATTAGAAACACATCTCCAAATAATTTTATCCATACCTGCACCAGTAGCACCAGCAGGCTGACATATAACTTTTGGAACCATATCCCTTGGCAACACACCTATGAGCTTATCAAGATCCCACCAACCATTACTTAAAAACTCAGAGACAACACAATCAATATTGGAGATGTTAGCAACATCAATAGTTTCAATTAAAAGGACATCTAAGACCCATGAATCCTTCCAAAATTTCACTGTCACCATTGCCAATTCTCCAAGTCATGCCCTTTTTAAGAAGATTAGCTCCATACAGAATTCCTGTCCAAGAATAAGAACACTCGGTTCTTTCATGAATTTTGGGGTGTAAAATGGAATAGCCTTTCAAATACTTAGCCGGATAAATTTGAGGCCAAAAACCAGTCCTTAGCATGAATCCTACACCCTAACGTGGCGAAAAGAGCCTGATTCATTACACAAACTCTCTTAATCCCCAAACCACCCTTACTTTTAGGTCTGCAAACCATACTCCATTGGCACAAATGAACTTTTTTCTTTTGATCGATATCCTCCCACAAAAACGTCATGTTCAACGTGTCTAACTCTTCACACACACTAGCAGGAAGCTTGGTCATATACATGGCATAAACTGGTATGGACGATGTAACAGCTTGAATTAAGGTAATTCTTTCAGCGACGGACAATACCTTGCTCTTCCAAGTTGCCAACCTCTTCTGAACTTTATCAATAACGCCCAAATAAGTAGCCTTTGAAACTCTAGTTGGAATTAGAGGCATTCCTAAATAATTCCCAAGACTCTATTTGACAGGAGAACCACAAATTGTACTAATACTATTAACAACAGCCCTGGACGTGTTTGGAGAACAATAGAGAACATATTTTCAAAGTTAATAGCTTGACCAGAAGCTTTGCAAAAAATTTCAAGGCATCTCTTCATTAATCTTGCTTGCTTTAGAGTTGCTTCAGAAAACAAAATTAAATCATCACCGAAAAAGAGATGAGAGACCCCAGGTCCAGATTGAGAAGCCTTAGCAGGTTTCCACCTTCCTCTGTTCACAGTTGCAGAAATTAAATGAGAAAGTTTCTCAATACATAGAACAAACAAATAAGGGGACAAATGATCCCCTTGCCAAATACAGTTTTGAGGAGTAAAACTCACCATTGAAACAGACTTGGTACCTAACGGTGGATACACATTCCATCATAAGTTGAACCAAATTCGAAGGCAACCCAACCTCATTCAGCACATATTCAATAAACTTCCAATCAAGTATGTCATACGCCATAGAGAGATCAATTTTCCAGGCTAAAAATCCCTTTTGGCCTTTTGACATTCTGAACTTGTGAAGAATTTCTTCAGCAATGAGGATATTGTCAGAAATTTTTCTACCAGGAACAAAACTAGCCTGATTAGGACTAATCAGATAAGGCAAGAGAAGTCTGATTCTAGCAACAATGAATTTAGAGATCACTTTATAAGGAGGGCAACAAAGACTAATAGGCCTAAAATTCAACATTTTTGAGGATTATCAATTTTAGGGACCAATGTTATCAGCGTACTGTTTAACCCCACAGGCAATCTCCTTGAGTGAAAAGCATTCCATACCATTTCAAAGATATCATTAGCACATATATTCCATTGACTTTGATAAAAGCAAGCAGGAACACCATCAATACCTGGAGCTTTAAGGCCTCCAATATTAAAGAGGCTTTCCTTGACTTCAACCATATTAAATATCTTTGGTAAGAGCTTCACAATCAGCATCATGTATATCAGGAAAAAAATTAGGAAGAGATTCCATTTGCTTAGACTTTTTCCAACGCGAAAAAATAGTTTGAAATACTCTGCTGCCAACTTTTTCAGATTAGAAGGCTCCGATATCCAAGAACCTTGATTGTTAATGAGCCCTTCAATTCTATTTCTTCTCCTCCTTACAATAGTAGTGAGATGAAAAAAGTTGGTATTACGATCACCTTCTTGAAGCCACCTCAACCGAGACTTTTGATGCCAAAATATAGCCTCCTAATTTAAAACTTCATTATATTCAGAAATCAACTCATCCTCCAATTTAGAAAGAAATTTATTAGGCCCACGACACAAAACTTTTTGAATCCCATCAATTCTTGCTAGAAGTCTGCGCTTTCTCTGTTTGAGATGACCAAAGACTTGAATATTCCACTTCTTAAGAGGTTTAACAAGAGCACAAGTTTTATCAGCAACCGAACATCCACCATTACTCCAATAACCAGCAACAAACTACTTGAAATTTTCATGCCTCAACCACATAGCTTCAAAACGAAAAGGACGATGCTTGGGAGAAAATGAATGATGAGAATTTAAGCATAGCTTAATTGGGCAGTGATCTGATTTGGTTCGCGGGAAATGGTGAACATAAGCTTCACAGAAAAGGCTCCTCCAACTCATATTACAAATCCCTCGATCAATTCTTTCTAAAACTTTTTTATTAGTCCAAGTAAGTTTAGGACCAATACAACCCAAATCAATCATATAATTCCTATCCACCCAGGATTGGAAGCCTTTTTAATCTGCATAATGGAGCACCACCAAGTTTATCTTCCACACACAACATGTCATTGAAATCCCTAACAATTAACCAAGGCAATTGATGACAATCGGCTACAAAATCCAAATAATCCCACAATTTTTCTCTTTTAGTAACATAAGGGCTAGCATAGACTGTTAGATGAGGTCCACATGCAGTTTCATCCACCGTGCTTTGAGGAGTCCATCGTTATCTGAGGAGTTCAGTTTTGTTTGAAAGTGTTACTTGATTAGGTTTCCTTGTTTGTAGGATATGATTTCAAATATGTAATCTGTTAATTATCTGATTTGATTTGTAAGTTTTTCAAACTTCCTTGTAAATAGGGATTTCAAATCCTCAGATGTAATCGTGAAGTTCTTATAAATACAAGCATCCCACAGTTGAATGGGTATGCAATCACAGTGAAAGAATCTGAGTTCTTAAAGTTTTACATGGTTTCAAGAGCTTTTTTTGTCTAACGACAAAGATCATACTTCCCATTCTTCTCCATCCACGCTTCCATGGCTGACAACAATATTTCCGTTGTTAACTCCAACCCTAAAAACACCACCACCACCTTCCAACCCTTCTTCACTATCGTCAATATCAAACTTGATAGAACCAACTACCCACTGTGGTTGGCTCAAATGCTTCCTATTCTGAAAAGTAGGGACCTTATAAGGTATGTTGATGGCACGTTGTTGTGTCCCCCAAAACATGTTGCAAACTCCACCACTGTCAACCCTGTGTACACGGCTTGGGTTCAACAAATGATCCTAAGTTAGATAAATGGATCCTTGACTGCGTCTATCCTGTCCGTGGTGGCGAGTAAAAGAACAGCCCGAGCTACATAGGAAGCTTTTGATTAAAGGTATGCATCTACCTCTCAAAATAGAATTTTGTTTCTGATAACTGAATTGTTGCAGACCAAGAAAGGTGATATATCCATGGCTGATTACCTTGATTGCATGAATGCGATAGCTGACAACCTCGCTCTTGCCGGGCAACCTGTGTCTGATGAGGAACTTGTTCAAATTGTGTTGAACAATCTAAGACCAGCGTTTGAGATGACTGTAAGTGCTGCACAAGCTCGGGATACCCCTATCGCGTATCCAACACTTGAATCACTCATGTTGACTACATAACGCAAAATGACTGAACAAAATGTGTCTTTGGTGGAAGGTGCTACTATAAATGCCTTTGTTGCTTCCAGAGGCCGTAGTGGTGGGCGAGGCCATGCTTCCAACCGTGGTAGGAATCAAAGAGCCTACAATAATCACAACAACAACACTCAGAATAACCAAGGTAATGGTGAAGGGATGACTTTTTGTGGTGATCGAATTATTTGTCATATTTGTGGTAAACCGGGTCATCCCGCACTGGACTGCTATCAACGAATGAATGCTGCCTTTGAAGGAAGGATTCCTGCCAAAAGTCTCTTGGCCATAACGTCTTCTCCCATCACTTTTAATAAGCAGCAGAATGGCTCTTGGCTACTCGACACCGATGCTAACGTACATATAACTCCAGATATTCAAAATCTAGCCCATCCTAAGGAGTACAATCGTAATGATGGTGTGGGAGGTGTAGGTAATAATTTTGGTATCTCTATTGCATATTTTGGCTCAAATCATCTTCAAACTAATGCTTGCTCATTTGCTTTATGTGATATTCTTCATTGTCCTTCTGCATCAACCAATATCATTTCTGCCCATAAATTCACCTTAGATAATGATTGTTACCTACTAATTTTTCCACATTTCTTTTTTGTTAAGGACCTCAAGACACGGAAGATGTTTTTCCGAGGGAGATGTAAGAATGGGTTGTACCCATTTCCAAATGGTTGTGGACATCTCAAGCATATTGTTTCTGCATTTTTGGGGGTTCGGGTCTCGATTCAAAGGTAGCATGCGTGTCTTGGCCATCTTGCGAAACCAATAATAAATTTTTTAGTTTCCAATAAGTTGGTACCCGTTCATGGTACCTCTGATGTAAGTTTTTGTGAGTCTTGTCCTTTAGGTAAAAGCATTAGGCTTCCTTTCAATGTGTTCGAGTCCATGTCTCAATTTCCTTTGCAACTTATCCACTCTGAGGTGTGGTGTTCTCCAATTAAATCCAATGAAGGTTTTCGTTATTATTTGTTATTTGTCGATGACTATTCACGATATTCTTGGGTTTTTCCAATGACAAACAAATATGAAGTGTTTGAGATATTTGTGAAATTTAAAACTAAAGTTGAGAACATGTTTAATTCTTCCATTAAAACTATACAATGTGATGAAGGTGGTGAATACGAAAGTCATGCTTTCCAATGATTTTTGGATGTTCATGGTATTTCACAACGTTTTTCTTGCCCTAAACATCCTGAACAAAATGGTTTAGCCGAACACAAACATCGCCACATTGTTGAAACTGCAATTGTCATGCCTTCTCAATCTTTCATGCCACCTAGGTTCTGGTTTGATGCCTGCTCAACGGCTACTTATTTAATCAACTGGTTACCAACTAATGTTCTGTCTAACATCTCACATTTTGAAAAATTATTTTAAAAAAACACCAAAGTATGAGATGTTAAAAGTGTTTGGTTGCCGTTGTTTTCCTTAGTTAACACCATACACCCAAAATAAATTGCAACAAAAATCAAAGTCATATGTTTTTCTTGGGTATTCATTAGACCATCAAGGATACAGGTGCTTGGATATGTCCACACGACGAATTTATTTGTCTCACCCTGTTTTATTCGATAAGGATTTCTTCCCTTTTAAGGGGCTCACATCTTCTTCTGAAAATGTCGCATCACCAGGTAACAATCTTCTACCCGATCTACTTTTTACGTTCCCATTATCCACTGCTTCACCTGAGAGTCCTACTTTGAATTGTCCACCTCAACAAATATCTCCTCACTCTAATCTCGTTGCTTCCATGCCATCCTATCCTGACCCTACTACTTCTCAACCTGACACCTTGCCTACTAATGTTATCTCTTAGTTTGTCCCAGCTTTACAACCTAACCTACCCCTAACACCTAACCTGCCCCTAGCACCTAACCTGCCCCTAGCACCCTCACCGTCATCAAATGAGCAAGTTTTATTGATTCTCAACCTCTACAAGCCATTGTATCTAGTGATACTGGTCATTTTATGACTACACACTCCAAATCGGGGGTTTCAAAACCAAATCCAAAATATGTTATGCATGTTGCCGTTGACAAATTTCATGTTGAGCCTACGTGTTTCAATCAGGCAGTCAAGCATCAGGAGTGGAGGGATGCTATGGTGCAGGAATTCAATGCCCTACAGTGGTGTGGAACCTAAAGTTTAGTTCCATATTGTCCTAATATGTACATGTTGCCAAACAAATGGGTATTCAAGATTAAATGACGAGCATATGGTACTATTGAAGGTCATAAAGCTTGATTAGTAGCAAATGGATATCACCAGATAGCTGGTGTCGATTACACTGAGACTTTTAGTCCCATGGTAAAGCATAGCACCATTCGACTTGTCTTGAGTCTTGCTATGTCAAAGAAGTGGCATGTACGTCAACTTGATGTTCAGAATGCGTTTCTTCATGGTTACTTGACTGAACAGGTTTACATGCGTCAACCATCGGGGTTCACAAACAAACAGTTTCCAAATCATGTTTGTAAGTTGCAACGTTCTCTTTACGGTCCCAAACAAGGGCCTAGAGCTTTCCAATGTTTCTTTAATTATTTGCTTCAACTCAAGTTTAAAGAGTCTACATGTGATTATAGTTTATTTGTGTTCAATAAACGAGGTGTTTATTTAATTCTCCTAATCTATGTAGACGACATTTTAATCATAGGGAATAGTCCTCGTCAAATGGATCATTTGATCCAGAAACTTGGTAGTTTGTTTTCCATAAAAGATTTGGGAAACTTGAGTTATTTCTTGGGTATTGAGTTAAAATATGATGGTGATTCCATGCATTTATGCCAATCTAAATATGCCTTTGACGTCCTTTCTCGCACTAAATTCACAGAAGCAAAACCTATCTCTACTCCGGTGTTGTCTGTTCAGAAGTTAAGTGTTTATGTTGGTGATCCTTGTGATGATCATACGTTGTATCGTAGTGTTGTTGGGGCGCTCCAATACCTCACGATCACTCGATCGGATTTATCCTATGCTGCGAATTAAGTGTGCCAGTTTATGCACTCGCCAAAGAACATGCACTGGATGGCACTCAAGCGGATCCTTCGGTACTTGAAGGCTACTTATGATCATGGATTATTGTATAAAACAGGAATTGTTAGGTTGACAGCTGTTTCAGATGCCGATTATGCTGGCAACCCAGACACTCGTCACTCCACAGGTGGTTTTTGTTTTTAGTTGGGTTCAAACCTTGTATCTTGGAGTTCAAAGAAGCAGAAGACGGTATCTCGATCAAGTGTAAAGGTGGAGTATAGGCAATTAGCTTATACTGCTGCTGAGTTATCTTGGTTAAGGTCTCTTTATAGAGATCTTCATATGCATCTTGTTCAACCTACCATTTGGTGCGACAATATCTCATCGATTGCTCTTGCATTAAATCTGGTTTTTCACTCGCGAACTAAGCACTTGGAGGTCGATTACCATTACTTTCGTGAAAAGGTTGTTCATGGTCAACTACTGGTTAGTTATGTGTGTTCCCAGGACCAACTTGCTGATATTTTCACTAAAAGACTCTCTTCGTCCTGTTTTAAGTTTCTTGTCTTCAAGCTTCTACTGGTTTCTCCCTCTGTTAGCTTGTGGGGGGCTGTTAGAGAGGTCCACATGCAGTTTCAACCATCGTGCTTTGAGGAGTCCATTGTTATCTGAGGAGTTCAGTTTTGTTTGAAAGTGTTACTTGATTAGGTTTCCTTGTTTGTAGGATATGATTTCAAATATGTAATATGCTGATTATCTGATTTGTTTTGTTTGTTTTTCAAACTTTCTTGTAAATAGGGATTTCAAATCCTTAGATGTAATCATGAAGTTCTTATAAATACAAGCATCCCATAGTTGAATGGGTATGTAATCACAGTGAAAGAATCTGAGTTCTTAAAGTTTTACATAGACAGCAATGAAAATTCAATGGTTCTAACCAACACCTCTCACAACAATGGAAATAGCTTGGTCAGTGGTACCAATAACTTCCACATTTAATCTAGAATCTTTCCACAACATCCACAAACCACTAAAGAAGCCAACAGTATCCACAATCTCAAAGCATGGAAAACCAAGGGATTTCACTACTGAAATAGCTTTCTTACCACTAATCATGGGCTCGCAAATAACCAAATTAAATCTCCATTTGGTGAATATTAATTAAATCTGCAATATTATCTTTAAACTTGGTGCAACCAGCACCTCTAGCGTTCCATACTACAATATTCATCATAAAGATGGAAGAGATAGATAAAACCAAGGCATAAAGCCTAGCAACCCATAAGGGTTGCCTCCACATGGGAGGTACACATCTCATCAGACTTAGTTGAACAAGAATCCTCAGTTGAACGAGATCGCTGAATAATTGAACCTGGAATAGCATGATCAATATTCATCATATCTTCACCTGGATCTAGATCACACGCAGCTAACTCAACAACGCTGCCACTTACATTGGATGGTTGGTGACCAAAAATACATGTTCCCTTCAACATATTTGAACCATAGTACATATCAGTCTTGAAGGCATTAAAATTAAATTTGAACAGCTGAGCCTCAACATTACTAACCGAACTAGAACTTAACCTTCTCACCACACAACCTACCCCAAATTATCAGTGTTTAGTCATGAAGAAGGATTTGCCTTTCCACCAAAGTTAGAGATATCAACAAGTGCATCCTGATCACCAGTTTCCTTCTTCTTCCTAGCCACCAAAATTTTCCTTTCAATAGAACCTTCACCCTTCTCACCATCTGTGCCACTTCCCACATTGCCCTTATTCAGACTTTTATCTTCCCCATTAAGCGAAGTGAACCTTGACCTCTGCTCATTAAACGAAACATCCACACCTCCTTGTCCATTATTTATTTTCCAAGGTCTACCTCTAGGCTTAACTTGCATCCATGTACCATAAATAGTAGAAACATCATCGCTACTTTGAGTAGACTTAACTATAGGCTCATCCATATTCATAATATTACTCTCATTTTTGTGGATG